TGCTGGTTAGTTACTCTAAAAAAAGTTCCACATATCTTGCACACTGAAAAATTCTCACTGTCAACAGCAACAAAGACTAAATAAAGCACATTATAACACATCTAACGTTTTCATGTATAAAGATAAGACCACCAGTCAGGAGCCCAGCTCTTTAACAAAAATGGAGCCTTAAACAATGACCTTCTCAGCACCACCAGCCGTCGGTTCAACCACAAGTGCCTCCCAGCCCTATCTCCCACAACTGTGTTACAACATCAAAACAAGTCATTCAGTTTTTTAGCACTTCTTTTAAAACAAAATCTTCAGTTACAGTATATTATCTACCTGGCAGCAAATGTAAGAGAGCAAGGACACCCCATTCCAAGTGGACAAGCCACACTAAATATTCATTATTTGCCCTGCTGCAGCACATAAATGCCTCAAGTCCAACTGTAAAATATTTACAGCTTCCAATAATGGAAAAGAGCAACAAATCAGTAAGGTTAGCGTGAAGTGTCTGATTCAGTCCTTCTTGCAGGCTGCAAATCAACTCGTGCATCCCGTGAAACCCTGCAGTGCAAACAGCTCGGCAATCGTGGAGAAACACAAACACATTCCACGGTCAGGAAAGTTCTCGTTATTCTCAATGAACAAGACCTGGATCGGTTTCTTGTGGCCTCTCAACCTGAGCCATTCTGCTTATTTTAGAAAGGGCAGCCCCGCGGAGGTCAAGTTTTCACCGTGCCATTAAACCAACTAAACAGATTCCGGGAACCAAAACAGGCCGGGAGAGGGATCATGAAATCCAATCGGCAAACCCCGTATCTCGGTTCATGCTTTCTTTTCAGGTTTTTACTTCTCTCGGTGTTTTCAAGCCTCTTACTTAACTGCTACATTTAAAGTCCATTCGTACTTTAATAATTTAGGGATCTAACTGCCTTCTCGAGATGGTTTTCCCAGGTCACTGGGCAAGTGATCATGAAGTAACGACCGAACCATCGGAGCGATCAAGCTTCTGCCTCCCAAACGGCCTCGAATAAACATAATTCCCCTGCACAAACAGGCCGCGCTCCTCTTAAGAGTTGACAGACTATGCTTATAAACAGCAACCCGTTAAAAACAAACGCCCTCTTTTCTCTCTCCTCCCCTCCCGGAGCAAACGCCCGATTTCACCCACGAAGCCCTCGCAGCTTTCACAAGTCGGATGGCGGGGGTTTTTTATTGAAGCGACAAGACCGTGAAGTCCCGGACACGCTCCCGCACTGTTCGCTTCTCGCCTTCCGCAGAGGAACCTCCAAACACCCCGCTCCGAGGTCAGAGACTCCACAGGTCTCTCGGTGCCCCCGGCAGGGGCACCGCGGCCTGTCGGAAGGGACACACGGTACCCCGGGCGACCCGGGGGTGGGAGAAAGGCGCTGCCCGGCCCTCACCCCGCCCGCGGGCTCTCGAGCCGCGCTCAGCCCCCGGGAGCCCGGGCGCGGTACCTTGGGGGCCGGATCTTGCAAGATGCCGTTTTTCGGCCAGGTCCGCGATGCGGCCGATGAAGCCAAGCGGGTCGTGAACTTCCTCCGCAACTGGGCTCGAACACGGGGCACTCGGGCGGCGGCACGAACTCGGCCGGCGTAGCGCGACCCACCGCCCCCCGCCATGGCCGCAGCGGGGAGGGGGGCGCCGGCGCGCGGGAGCGCAGGGCGGAGCGGGGCGGGTGGGGCGCTCAGGGCCAGACCGGGGGCCGAGGCGCATCCGCCGGCGCAGCGGACGAGCGGCGGTGCCGAGGTGACGGTGGGCGGTCGCTGTCCCGGCCCGGGCCGCTCTCCCCGCCCGAGCCCCACTCCGCCTCCGTCCGGCCCGCCGGAAAGTGACGAGCCTCTTTAGCCCTCCCCGAACTGCAAACGCGCGTTGCCTTCCGATCCGAAAAGTAGTCCCCCACCTACCCCTCTGCTGGCGAGGGACCTCCCGCCGCCCCACGCCCCGGGGATCCCCCTCCGGCGGTCCTGCGCGCACACGCCCCGCCCAGCACTCCTCAGGGTACCGCGCAGGGCAAGAAGGCGCCGGGGAGCGGGAGGGCGGGGCCGGCGCCACTTCCGCCGCGGAGGAATGTGCGAGGAAACCCGAGCCATTTAGTTCCGGTGCGGAGCGGCCGCGTCGCCCATTGTCTGGGCCGGACGTCAGGCCACGCCCACAGACAGGCCACGCCCCCTCATAGGGCCCGCCCTTCCATAGGCCCCGCCCCCGGGAGTGGGAGGGTCCGTCCGTCTGTCCGTGACCGCGGGACCCTCCTGAGCTGGAGGAGACCCGCAGGGACTGTTCAGTCGAGCTCCTGTCCCTGCACAGGAACATCCCCAACAATCCCACCATGTGCCTGAGAGCGTTGTTCAAACGCTCCTTGAACTCTGACAGCCTTGGCGCTGTGATCACTTCCCTGGGGAGCCTGTTCAGTGCCCAACCACCCTCTGGGGGAAGAACCTTTTCCTGATATCCAACCTAAACCTCCCCTAACACGACTACAGGCCATTCCCTCGGGTCCTGTCCCTGGTCACCACAGAGAAGAGATCAGTGCCTGCCCCTCCTCTTCCCCTCACAAGGAAGTTTTGTACTGTGATGAGATCTCCCCTCCATCTCCTCCAGGCTGAACTTCAGGTTGGGCCCAGTACGCCACCATCACCCCCCAACCTCTGTGCTATGGATGGATACTCTGCTGATCTCCCCTGATGCCATGTTTTATTTCCTAAGTCAAGTAATCACAATTTAGGACCTGTTAAGTACCTCTTGGGACTCATTAAGTATCTTTTGCCTATGCATCGCAACATAGTATTTCAAAATAAATTGTATGTTGTTGTTTTTTCTTTTTAACCAGAACCCTGCCTTCGGTGTTCACCAAATGCCACATTTCACTTTATTCTCTGTGAATATTTATTCTCTTCTGATTATTCAGACCTTGGTCCTAGTGTTCTATTTCAGGCTCACAAAAAGTTAATTTCCTCCCCCCCCCCTTCCCGCCATGAGGCTTACAAGATCTGCTTCAGACCCAATACATTTACCTATGAACTCCTTCCATTTTGTTTCTATTATTGTTTGGTTGTGTCTCTCTCCTGATGAGCTGTACCAGAGTCCTTTGAGGAAATACACGTGTATTCTATTCCCATCAGCAGAATCAATAACGTTCTCAGTTTGAAGGTAAGCAATGATTTAGCCAGGAATACCAGAGGGAAAAATCTCCATGCTCAAAAGCTTTGTTTTGAGAACCACTCTTTTGCTGATTTTCTTGTAGACTGACACTGACTCTTCAAAGTTGTTTCAGCTTTGTGTTAACATGTTTGGGTTAGTGGAGGGCTCTGGAAGGCATTGCTGGGAATTGTGCAGGATTTCCTAACAGCAAAAAGCTAAATATCCCAAATAACCCAAGGGGGCATTTTTTAAATCATATCAGTTCTCCAAGATATCCTTTCAGAAACAGAATTTTACGCTTTTCTCTGTTACCTGCTCCAGTTTTGGAGCTGTTTGCTTCTGAAACACTGGTCCATGCTGGGACTTGTGTACCCTCTGTCAGCCTTTATTCTTCTTGGTTATTTGGAGGTATTTATCACTTTTCTGAGAGAAGACTTCAGCCCTTTTTACAATGTATTCAGCTGCTCTCTGGAGAGAGCACCCCATCTAACTAAGGGGAATCATTGAATATCCTGAGATGGAAGGGACTAACAAGGATCATCAAGTCCAAATCCCTAATAGCAGTCTTTCTTTTGGACTTTGCCAAGACAAATTATCTACCCTCCTCTTTTCTCTATTTCATGAGAATATCAATTTGAAGAAGAATCACAGAATCACAGAATATTCTGACTTGGAAGGGACTGACAAACTCCAACTCCTGGCTCTGCACAGGACACCCCAAGAATCACATCATGTGTCCAGGAGTGTTGTCCAAATGCTCCTTGAACTCTGTCAGGCTCGGTGCTGTGACCACTTCCCTGGGGAGCTTATTCAGTGCCCAACCACCCTCTGGGGGAAGAACCTTTTCCTAATATCCAACCTAAATCTCTCCTGACACAGCTTCAGGCCATTCCCTCGGGTCCTGTCTCTGGTCACCACAGAGAACTGATCAGTGCCCGCTCCTGCTCTTCCTCTCACGAGGAAGTTGTAACTGCAACGAGTAACCTCATAGCTTTGTAAGTATGTAAGTAAGTGGTTTTTTGGGTTTTTTTGTCATACAGAAAGTCGATTTCTTTAAACAAAGTGTTTAGAAAAAAAACTGGCTCGTTAGTGCATAGGCTTTTTTTTTTCCCCAGAACATTTAATGAGTTAGGAGACCATGTGTTGCATAAATGGTAAGACCACTAGTAGGTACTTCTGGGTATACGAGGGGGACTGGAGAGGCTAAAAGGCATCGAGATGATCCAAAGAATACATTAAATTCAGGCAGAATTCAAGTCGGTAACTTATTGTGACTGCACAACGTCATGTTTTGTTCAGTTCATTTCCAAACACAAATGGGTGTTTGAGTAGCAGTTTTTGCTGCTGTGGATGTAAAGAGTCCCCTCTGCCAGGTTTGCATTTATTTGGCCCATAGGCCTGATGGCTGCCCTCATAAAACCAGGGTTAATACGCGCAGGCCCCACGATCCCCCCCTCAGACCCTCCCTGTGCCCCCGCCGCGGCCGCGCATGCGCCATGACCTCCCCAGCCGCCCAAGGACTACAACTCCCAGAGGCGCCGGCGCGGAACCCCCGCCACCCGTGTCGCGATCGCTGGTTGGCGCAGACTGTCGGAGCGCATGGAAGGCCGTCTGTGATTGGAGGAAGACGGCGAGGGGCGTGGCGCTACGAGGTTTAAGCCGCGCGGGGATGGTGGCGGTTTTTTTTGGACGTTGGGGCCGTGAGGCGCGGCGGGACCCCCATCCTGGGAACCCCCGTCCGGGGCTTTTCCCGCGGGTTTTCTCGCCGGGTACTCCCCGCCGCCAGCCTCTCGGAGTGCCCGAAGCTCTGCTGTCCCCCACCCGCGGAGAGCCCGGCGCTCCGCAGGGGCACGATGAGCGCGGCGGGGAGCCCGCTCTGCTCAAGGTAGTGAGTGTGGGGGAGCTGCTCCTCCCGGGACACCGGGGGTCCCGGAGCCCTTTCCTTCCTGCTCGGTGGCCTGGTTTAACGCAGGGCACCCTCTGGCCCGCTCCTGTGCCTGCTGTGCTTCCTGCCTTTTACACTTTTCCATTTCTGCTGTTCTTCCTCAATAAAGCGCTCACCTCGTGCCTGGGTTACTTCCGTCCTTCTGGTGTTACTTATTTTTCTACGTGTGTTAAGGCATTTTTGATCGTGCAGCAAGTTCCTACGTGGGAAAAAAAAAATCATACTTTTGTATATTTAATGCTTTTCTATAGTGCCGGGAGTTAAGGAGCTTGGCACGTTTTCATGGATGTGCATTGGGGTTCTGATCTAAGCAGCTTTGGTGAGTGGCTCCATAAAGGTCACCACTGCCTCAGTGCCATCCATCAAATCACTTTATCATCAACATTCTGGCACTGGTCCCAGGGTCAGATTCTGGACTGTGTTTTCATTAAGCAGATCTTTGGTAAAGAGGCTTCTGTTACTCAGGGTATCATTTAAAAAATGAACATTTTGGACCAACATAAATAACAAAAATAATGCTTTCCAAGGTAACTGTAAGCCGTGCAGCTCTATTTGCAAATTTTGGTGCTTGTTTAGCAGATTAAATGTTTGAATGTCGTAATTATTGTTTATAGGAAAATACATGTAATCATGCATGTCCTTAATTTGATTTGCATAATATTGACTTGCTCTCCATCTAGCATTTTAATGTAAGATACAAGAACTTGGCAGGCTCTACTTCACTATTGAGGATGGACAAGCCATGTGGATAAGATCAAGTAGACCAGAAAGGAAAGCACATAGATTCCTATACGTACACCTTAAATTGAAGTGGCTGGTGCTTCAGTTATCTTGAATTATTGCCTTTATTCAATGGTCTGTCTCTAGAAAGTGTTTCTTTGTCTAGGTATCAGATAGTGACTGTCACAGATTGTTTTCCTGCTCATTTTACAGTGGCTTCTAATAGCACAACAATGGACTTTTTGTTCTCTGTGTTCTGTCCTTCTGTTCTTTCTTCCTTCTCTTTTCACATTCACCCTCCCTAAATAACCTATGAGACTTTGCTTCCATAACATTTTTTTCTCCTTATTCTGTAAGTTAGCCCCTTCTCCACAGTATTGTAAACTTGCAAGCCATTCTATATCAAAGGTTTTGGTTCTCCTTAATGCTGTGACCACCTGTCATACCCGTAGCACAGTCAAGCTAATCTGCGTTTTAAATCAAATCTGTGTAAAAATTTAAAACCTGTTCAGCTATTTTAAAAAGTGTTTGAATTTTCTTGTCTGAAGCTTACATGTCTCTCTTTCTGTCCAGGGCACCAAACCCCCATGTCTCATCCAGACATGCTGACTGCCAGTCTCCAAACCAGGAGGAATTTACTCCTCTCCCTTCTATCAGTGAGCGCTTGGCTCGTCTCCATCCTTCCCGGGAGCTGCTGGAATACTACCGCAAGAAGATTGCTGACTTTGATGAGGAACAGGAGGATTTGGTAAAAAGGCTGGAGAGATACAAAGAAACGTATGACAATCAGGTAGGGAACGAGTTTTTGAGCAATGATGGACTACTTATCCTTCCACTGACTTAGTATTTTTCCTCGGTTGAAAACTCAGCGTAGATGTCTCCAGATTTACCAGTAATGTGGTAGAACTGAGCTATGAAGAAATAAGTAGATTTTGATTGTCAAAGCAGACAGAAACATACCTTCTTCTGAAGTTACCATAGTTTGGTTATATCTTCTCAGTGGGGTTTTTGCTTCTGTTTTTTTTTTTTTATTAAGGCCTGAATTTAGATGTTCATTCTCTATGTTGTCCAGTATCTTTCCCTTTTTTCTCATAGTAGAGGAGTGCTCTTTTGTCCAAATGTAATAGGCTTGGAGATATGGATATAATCTGTATTTACCACAGTGGAATTCATAAGCATAGCAGTAAACTACACAGCAAATAAATGAGTTTAAAAGAAACTCCAAAACCTACAAATCTGCCTTTTAAGAGGAGAAATCTTACAGAATATCTGTAAGATATTCAGTGTTCTGATATGCCTTACAGCATGTATCTTTCTAGCAGTCATCTTGATAATTGTGGATGGTCCTTTGGGAATAGAGTGATCACTTGTGAGGTGACTAAGGTGTCTCCTCAAGTACTGGCCATGCTTGAAGCAGCTTGGGGAAATATATGCTGTTTAAGTTATTTTCATATGGGAAAAAGAGGGGCAGGTTCCAAAATAGTGCTTTCTTTCGTACAGGAATGATTTTCTAAAAGGTTTGTTAGTTTTCCACACCAGGTAGAAAATAATTAATGTAACTTAGTAACTAGTCAGATTTCTCAGTGCTAAACCATACAGATACTTTAATGTGTATTATTCAGTAATTTATTTTAAAAGCAAGTGTTATTGCAGAGGCTTTGCTATGTTTTTGTTGATGTCACACTCCCCATACCTGTGCTGCTCTGACCACCAGTGTGGAAGTGCAATCACTGGAAACTGGACACCCTTGCTGAGGCCTTATTGAGCTATTGTGTAGTGACAGTGATTCCTGGGGCTCTGAACTCCCTGCTGAAACATTTTAAAATCATTTTTCCAATACTGCCCTCAGCTGGTCAAATATTATAAGAGAATAAAATAATTCACTGGAGCTGGCTGTTGTTCTATAGCAGTTATAGGCTCAGAGCACAGGCAGTTTGAAGTTCCTAAGTGTTGCCCAATGCTCTGTATCATTTCAAGTACTTCATTCTCTCCACTCAGCACAAGTTGCAGTGGGAAGTCCGTCAGCTGGAAGAGGAGGTTTCAAAGTTGCAGAAGGCTTTGAGTGATATGCAAGTCTACCTTTTCCAGGAGAGGGAACATGTCCTTCGTCTTCACTCAGAGAATGACCGGCTGAAAATCAGGTGTGCTGTGTTAGGTGGTGTGGGCTGGGTCACAGGCAGCAGCAATTGCATACACTTGTGTGCTAGTTCTCATCCAGATCTGGGGTCTTCAGAGAAGCAATTATGCCACACTTCCCAGGGTGGGCTCTGTTGGGATGCTAAATATGTTTCCACTTATTATTCCTCCTATTCTGGTAGTAGAAGAAAGAGCAGAAGTTTAACGTAGGTTCACATTTTGATTGCATGCTATCAGTTTGAATGTGGGAGTTCTGATTGAAGCTGACTCTGGTGGGTTGACCTTGGCTGGGTGCCAGGTGTCCACCAAGACTCTGTATCACTCACCTCCTCCCCTGGACAGGGGAGAGAAAATATAACAAAAGGCTCATGGGTCAAGATAAGAACAGAGAGAGATCACTCACCAGTTAATGTCATGGGCAAAATAGACTTGATTTGGGGAAATTATTACCAATCGAATGACCTCAGGGCTGGAGCACCTCTCCTATAAAGACAGGCTGAGATAGTAAAGGCTGTTCAGCCTGGAGAAGGCTTCAGGGAACCCTTACAGCACCTTCCAGCACTTAAGGGGCCTACAAGAGAGCTGGAGAGGGAGTTTTACCAGGAGCATGTAGTGACAGGACACGAGTGATGTCTTTAAATTGAAAGAGGCTAAGTTTAGATTAGATGTTAGCAGAAAATTCTTCACTGTGAGGGTGGTGAGGCACTGGAACAGGTTGCCCAGAGAAGTTGTAGATGCCCCATCCCTGGAAGTGTTCAAAGCCAGGTTGGATGGCACTCTGAGCCCCCCTTCTTAAATATCCCAGAGGTGCTGCCACCATTGTGATGGGCTTGGCCTTGGCCAGTGGCAGCTCTATTTTGGAGCTGGCTGACATTGTCTCTTGAACATGGGGGAAGAGCTTCTAGCACCTTCTTACAGAAGCCACCCCTGTAGCCCCCTGCTACCAAAACCCAGATGCAGATCTTGCATCTGCCTGGCAAAAGTTCCTCAGCCATAAAAACACTTAAGTTGGAGTAGAAAATACAGACCAAAGCAAATAGTTTTCCCTCACTCTGAGATCATGACATCAGCCACTCATTTTTAATGCCATTTAGTTGGGGAACTGTAATATAACCCATCATACCAGACAAGCTGCCAGTGACAAAGGAGCTCCCAACCTTCTTCAGAGTATTTATGAGTGATAGTATCAAGTTTTCTCTTAAAGATTTAAGAACTTAAGTCAAAACATGTGTTGCTGTTCTTTGGCACTTTTCAAGAGTGTGATGAAAAGTCTGACACAGTCTTTAATGTAGTTTGCTTTAAAAACAATGGACACTTAAAATCTAAAAGTTTGTAACTTTCTGATGAAAATTCTTTATCACATGTGCTATTGTTGTATCAACCCATGTAGTATTGTCATATTTGAAAATAGGCTCTCCAATCCCAGCAGAATTGGTGGTGTTCTTATTATATTGGCCACATCCATAATGTGTTCAGGAAGCTGTTTTCAAAGCAATATTCTCAAGAACTGCAACAGCTTAGAAAACTTGCAAGCATTAACAAGTAATGTCTTGATGTATTTTTAAAAAAAAGTGCTTTCTTTGAATTCCAGGGAACTGGAGGACAGAAAAAAAATTCAGCATCTCCTGACTGTAATGGGAGCAGATGGAGAAGTTACATATTTTCACAATGAGCCTCCACATAAGGCAAGTTCCCATTTTTCTGTAGAACTCTGCTTTGGATTGTAACATCTGTATCCCAGAGTGTCCACAGACCAGATCTGTCCCACAAGTCAAAAGTTACTAAATGAGCCCAGTAGAGGAGGGATCTGTAGCAACATCAGGTTTTAGTATAAATGCTGAAAGGTAAGTACGAACAAGCACACTGAAAGTAACATCAGCCTCCTTCTACCTTCAAAACATACCTCCATGTCAGCCTCCTGAATGTCAGATAGGAGTCTGAAGTCATCTGGCAAATGGTCATTGAGAAGGTGGAGAGAACACCACAAGAAGAAAAAAAAAGTGCTGAAAGCAACCAGGTGCAGTGTTTGAAGATCAGCTATCTAGGAGTGCCTCTCTTAGGACCTCACTCAAGGAGAAAGTGGCAAGGTTGCTGCAGCATTTTCCTGGGCAGAAGAGCCATCCTCTGTAGGCAACATTGTGTCACATATTTCAGAATTATGGTTAAATTGATTAAATTGCAGTACATGTGAAGTGCAGTGTAGCTGAACCTTTATAAAGTCATAAATGATTCGGACATAGAGAGTATATGATGGGAATATAGAATTTATCTTGGAATAAGGTGCAGAAAAAGGCTGAAATATGCTGCATTATTCATGGTTGCTCTGCACCACCCAAGTACTTCAAAAATCTTGAAGCTCTAAAATTCCTTGGTTTAGGGTAGCTCTAAAATTAGTGCTATTATGTAGTATCGACCTAAAGATAAGCATTGGGGTTATAACCTGCTGTCATGGCCTTTTTTTTTTTTCTGTTAAGCAAGTTTCAGTTCAACAGTTGAGTTGTTTCAATATTCTTGACACTTGCTTTTATCCCAGGCTTGTTCAGTAGCTTGAATGAATGTGCTGATAAATGAAGCTCCATGTTTCTCTGTCTTGCTGAGACAAGGAGGAGTGTGAAAGAAGGAAATAACATCATCTTCACCTTCCTCTTCTCCTCTCTATCCCCAAAATGCTCCTTTCCTGCTGAGGGTGCTGACTTTCATCCTAATGAAGCCGGAAAAGGCAGAATTACTTTCCACTTGTTTTGGTGAAAAAAATAGAGGCAGAAATAGCAAAACTCAGCCATGATAAGGGAAACTTTTCAACATGGACATTACACTTGTGAGTGTCTTCCTTGTCTTGTGGTAGGAGTAAGGTAATGCTGTTCTTTTGGATACCTCATTTTAACTTTTTAAGATTTGTTCTTGACCGTTGCTTTGGGGAAGTCAGATGTTCAGTGCAGATATCTTGTTTCTCTAGGTTACTGTTCTGCAAATGCCAGCAGAGTCACATGAACGAGATGATGCTTCCACCCCAGGTACCACATCGAGCTGGCTGACAACAGCTCAGCTACTGATACTTGTTTCTCTGTGTCTGTCTCCAGTATACTGGAGTAATTCCTTCCTGAAAATGCTTTGGTAAATCTCTATCAAGTTCCCTAAATGTCCATGTGTACATACATATACATGCAGTGCTCTTGGCTTCCCTTCAAAACCTTTTCAAATAGCCTCTTGTGTCCATGATTTGCCCAGCTAAGGAAGAGGTTGGTATGACCATCAGGTGGCTGTTCTGGAAGTATGCAGGTACCAACTGGACAGGCACCTTTGCCACAGCCATTCCAAGGCATGAGGTTCTGCCTGACTTTCTGTAGACAGTAGTGTGTATTTGTATGCCTACATACTAATTTTTTCCTTTGCCTCATCTAAATTGACTGAAATTAGTCAACAAGCTCAAAACTCATTCAAGGCTTGATGTTTGTGCAGCTGTGACATCTGCCTGTTCATCATTTATTTAAGAAAATGTGTTAAGTTTGCTTTCTATATATGCCAAGATATTTAGTACGTTGCCTAAATACTAAACACTGCGATGTGATGGACTGGGATAAAGTTATGTGATCACCTTAAGTTGTGAAATTCTTTTCTTTCAGCTAGCCCTCCTAGAAGTCCTTGTGACTATAGCAGTGGCAAGCTTTTTTCTGTCCCTGTAGGCCCACCAGAACATACAATATGTCATGCTTGGAAGGGTATTGCGAGTAGATTGGAAAACCCTTTTCTACTTTTGGTACATTTCTGCAATAGGTACCGAGAGGAGCACTTCAAAAGAAACAGTACAAGGAGAAAAACCAGAAGAGAGATATCAGTGTGTAAATCAAACACTTCTACTACAGGTAAAAGCATTTGCTAAGCAATGGACATAATTCCTGGCTTGCAGAAAATTGTGATTAAAAATATGCTGTCTGCTTAGATAAGATGTAGATGTACCAATTTTATCAGTCCTTGCATCTTAGTATAGATTCACATTTTCTGTCAGTTTACTTAGCTGTTTCTTTCCAGTGAATGTAGATTTAAGAACTCTGAAAGCTTTATGTAAGCAGATGTCCCACTAATGTCAACTGAAATATGTTGCCCTTAAGTACAGAATGTGTAATTGATGTTATCTCCCACAATTTGATAGTGGCCATGAATTCACACTAAACCTTCTGAAGATGTGCAGGGTTGGGTGTTTTGTGGTAATCTGACAAAAGCAATGTGTCTGAGACAGTATTAGGCAGCCCCAGTAAGATGCACCTGTACCATGAAATGTTCCCTTTGTTAGACTTCAATGAAAGGTAGCATGACAGAATGAAAGATAAAATGTGCAGTATCATGAACTGGGGAAGGTACCAGAAGCTGTATGTAAAGTATGAGGAAGGATGAATCAAGAAAAGCAAATGAAGGACTAACTTGTACAGCAGATATTGGTGGTGGTGGTTATTATTATTAATATTATTTGTTCAAGGGTGATGTTGACTGACCTGATGGCCAGTTAGCTATCTAACAGCATTTATTCTGGAACAAAAACATCATTCAAAATTGACATGAAAATAAGCAATCTAAATACCCACCAAGGTTTTTTTCCAGATAGTTTCTAACATAAAGGCCAGATGCACATTTTTCAACTATTTGCTTCAATGTATCTCACTGACTATGTGCCCTAGATCAGGATTCTTTGCATTCCTCTCCTTCCCTCTTTATCTTGTTTACATTTAGTAATTAATTCTGGTTGAGTAATTTCTTTTGTTCAATATATGTGGACTTGCTGCCTTCCTAGAATTTAGGTATTTTTATATCACCATTTCATTGGAAGATGGTAGCAGAGGAATGGAAGTGTCTCTGCATATTTCACAGGATTTGTCATATGTAATTTAATCATGTGCAATTTAAATCTTTCCAATATCTTCAACCTATTGTTGCTGTTTATGGTATGTCTCTCTTGCCTATAGCATGATTTTTTTTAAAAATGATTCAGTTGTTTGGAATCCTTAGCATTAAAACAAAAAGAAAACTTGAGAAATCAGAACTGCTAAAGATGTTATCAGGTAGAGTCTTTGATCTGAATCTTGAAATTTTAGAGACTTGCAAGGACAGGAGCAGAACTGGTTTGAGGTCTTGTTCAGCAATGTTTACCTCTTCTTATCCAGATCCAGGCCTTGCAAGCTCAAATAGAAGAACAGACACGATTATCCAAGGAACAGGTCGAGGCACTACTAGAGGACAGGCGGATTCACATGGAGGAAGCTGAAGTCCAGCATCAGAGGGACCAGGAGAAGATCAAAGCTGTAACAGAGAAGTGAGTGTGAGAGAATGACCACGGTGTAGTCATGAGATGAGAAGAGATGGAACAATAGAAATGTTATGACTTTGAATGTGTTGCTCCTGCAGCAGGCAGAAAAGCTAATTATGCAGCCATCTGGTAGTATGTGTGGAAGATGATGAGTGGAGTAATCTACATATTAAAAATCCTATTTCACATAGGAAGAATAGCACTTCTTTCATTAGATAAGAGCTAAGCTGAGTAGGAGAGCACCTATCTTTTTCTTCCATGCTGCTTCCAACTTGCAGTGATGACTGCGGAAATTAAGGTAGGAACTAGGAAAGAAGTTAATTAACTCCACTGGGATCCCTTTTTGCAGGCTCCAAAAGACACAAAATCTCTTATATGAGAGTACCCGTGACTATCTCCAGCTGAAGTTTGATGCCAGAGCCAATGAGAAAGCATGGATGGCAGAGAAGGACTGTCTGTTGAGGCAACTTGGCAAAGGTCTGGATCAACTTGTTTTCAATAGTCCATCAGGACAAAAGAAGCATAAAGGTACCAAGAAGATGCATCGAGCTGATGATGGAGCTTCAAAAGTCCAAAGCAGAGAAATAAAGGTAATTTTTTTGTCCTAGATAGAGTCTCTTTAACAGTTTTTAACTTGAAAATTGCAAGCATCTGGGCTCTGGCTCAACAGGCAGTAGCTAGCAGCTGTTTCAAAGCTGTACTGGCTTGCCATAAGTTACATTGCTTTTGGCACTAATCTAAACCAAAACTTCTCCTGCCTCAACCTCAGCATTGCTTGCAAATTTCAGATAAAATGTGTAGTTAGGATTTATGGTTGTGTGTCACTGGCAGTTTCTTTCATGCCCAGAACAAATCCCTAGTTCTGTAAGTCACTTGATATGTGGGGCCAACAGTTTTCAACCTGCTGGTTGCACGTGGCTTTCTGTTGGTGCAAGTGCTCTGAGCTAATGGACTTAGAATGCCATGTCTGGATCTTCCTTGCTGCTGTCAGGGGAGAAGGAGTCCTTTCTGTTGATGTACTCCAGCTCTTTTACACTAGTCAGTATTTTTCTTCACTTCTGCTATACTTCCAGTGAGAAGCTGAGAGATCTGAAGTGGGTAAACAGGCAATAAGGAAGTGGAAAGTAAACAGGCAATAGGGAATGGTTTTCATCTACCACTGAATGCAGATGCTTCTGAAATGCAGTACTGGGAAATGACTGTGAAGAGGAGAGTTACAGCATTAGTTGAATATTATTTTTAAAGGGAAGAGGAGAGAGTTCTTTATCTGATGATGAGCAGTCATATACAATTTAACTTAATTAAAAGGTTTTGGTAATGGAAGTAATGGTAGACTATTGTCCACAACTACTTATTTCATTAGCTGCAGCTCCAGTTGTTAGTTTTTATTTGCCTGTCATACTGGCAATTTTATCACACTTGCTTTTCCAGAGCAGGGGAGATTTTGTAAGCAGAGTCTTTTGAGTTGATTCTTTCTGTTTCTCCTATGTCCTAGTCACTGCAGGAAAAGCTAATGCAGGAACAACACCTATCACACATGTACAGAGAGCAGTGTGTCGCCCTGGAAGGCGAGCTGGCTAGGATTCGTGAGGAGAGAGATGCTGGGAAAGAACTCTTTAAGGTAATTAGTCTGTAATCATCTGCTAGCTATGTGATGATCTTCAGCCTTTATTTTGTATCCCTTATTGAGTTTTCATCTCCATAGGAACGCTCAGAAAAGATGGGGAAGCGCCTGAAGCTGATGACTCAGCGATGTGAGGCCCTGGAAAAACGTCGTAGTATGGAAGTAGAAGGCTTCAAGAATGACATTAAACAGCTTCAGCAGAAACTGAAAGATGTAGAGAAGCAGATTTACAAGGTTGCAGTTAAGCATTTCTGAGGCAGGCTATTATGGGCTTACCCTATAGAGCTGTATGCTCAGTATTTAAATGCACTGTTTCCCTAGAGTTTAGGAAATAATTTCTTTCCTACGTGCTTCTTTAGATATCAGTATTTGACAAAACTTGCCTCTTGTGTATTTTACAAAGTAAAAAACATGTCTTTGTTAATCAGTCAGGCATTGAGCTTGCCAGGAAGTGTCCTGACTATGCATTAGCTGAGTATTATTCTTTCCACTCTGAAAGTTCTTACGTGATAGCTGTAGCTCACTTTGCTGTCTCAAAATTGCAAGGCAGTAAAGTAGTTTGATTCAAAAGTTTATCCTGCAAAGAAAATGATGATTTGTTTTCTTTCTGGGAGCCATAGCATTTGGGTTGGGTCCAGTAAGAGCTAGATCATTGAAGTATTGTGAGTATTCTATTTGTTACTTTGTTAATATGTCATTTGTAACTCTGCAAAAATCACTGTGGAAGCAATGGCTGGAAGTTGACTCTGTGTACTCTGTAGTAGCTTCCAGATGTGTAGATGAACATCAGAACAGCTTAAAAGGGAAGCCACAGCCTTGATGTTGCTGGAAGTTTAGGAGAGATATTTATCTCAAGCATATGCTTGAGAGGATGATCCAGGCATAGTGTAGACTCACTTTTTTCCTGTACTTTTGGTGCACAGTTCAGTTTCCTTAGACTAATGCATTTATTTTGACTAAAGGCCTTGGGTTTTTTATATTTTTGTTGTTGTTGTTGTTGTTGAGCTGTGGGTTTTTAAACTTTATTCTGTAAGGACCAAACAGCGTATGTAAAAAGGGGGGAAATGGCCTGTGATACCCTTACTACAGACCTGTATGTTTTATATCTGTAGGTGTGCTTTTAATTGTACTCTCCACTTCATTACACTGTTAACCACAAGAGGGCAGGGGAACAAAATATTTGCTAGAATTCTCCAGATTGGTAGTTAAATCCTTCTCATCACTTGAGGTCTGATGACTGCATTTCGTGATTTGCATATTAAAATCTTTGACCAAGAACTACATGATGGCAATAAGAAACCCTGGCAGGTCAAGAAAATAAAAGTGTTTGAGAGTAGTTTCCAAGCCCATGCCCTTGAAAGTGACTGGGCTGGCATGCTATCCAGTTCCAGAGTGACAGGAAATGTCAGCCCTGGCCAGCTTGCCATCAGGAATTCTGATTATCCAGCAGCCTTTGTTCAGCTCAGTACAGGCCATATGTCACTGCCTGAAACAAGGCGTTGTACTTGAACTGCTCTTGAACCGTGTGCAGTTTAGGAGGCAGCAGGTCTGGCACAGCAGTTAGCTCACCTCTAGTTTTAGTAGGAAAAGAGGATAAGATGTCATCATATCAGGTGAGGTACTTAGAACTAGGTACAAATTACTTGATAAATATTTTAACCTGCCTCTTTTTGTGGGTCTCTAAGTAATACGGGAATTAGAAAGCTGAGTCAACAGGCTATGGGTAAACTTGATTATATTCTATCCAGATTTCTTCCTTGCCTGTAATATAACACCATAATGTTATGAAAGCTTTGCTCTTTATTTTTGGTTCTAAAGCACCTTTCTATTGGTGATGTGCATTATCAAAGTGCCATTAACTTACGCATCTTCTTTGGTAGCTGCAAAGGGTCCCCTTTGGAGTTCTCTCCCTCATGCACTCATCATAATACTCTCTAAATTGTATTCTGTACAGCTTTGTTTATATTCATCTGTTTTTCTTTCCCTTTTTAGGTGACTCTGAATATGGGACCAGAGCAGGATCTTGCAATTCTACGTGAGGTCCGCCAAGGAAACAGACTAACACGTAAAATTCAAGGACAACTGAAGGACTTAAAAACAAAAATCTTCTGTTTAGAGAATGAACTACGGGTCTGCTGAGGCTGAATTGTTAGCTGACATCCTAGTTTTGGGAATGAGATATTGCTAAGTGGAATAGTCATATGCAAGAGTAGCTCCTGCTTGTCTGTTTCCTGGCATCCATTGACAGAAGGTTTGAGGAAATCTGCAGTTAATGTCATAACAGTGTATGAGCCGTTCCCAGAGTGCCAGATTATATGGCTGTTTCAGCTGAGAGATGGCACCTGGTAAGACTGACACAGAAAGTACATGATGACTGATATATCAGGAGTGTGTGTATTACTTCTTCTTTCCTTCATATCTGTGGTAGGGATCAGTGTATACTGGCCTTCGCCTTTATTTGGAGCATATTATAAACCATACACGTGGTTATAAAGAAATTAATAATCATAGAAGGATCTAGTTCAGGATCTGAATTTTGGCTGACCTTTTCCTATGCGAGAAGCAGCTTTTAAAATAGTTTAAGTGGTTACTGTTTTGGTGCTTAGCACTTCAGGATGTAACTGGAGATTTTTGTTGGAAAAGACTACATATAGAAGCCTGTACTAAAATGTATTACATCTGACTCTCCCCTTGACAGCATAACTATTTTAAAATGGCTCCCCTTTGCTTGGTTCTATGTAATTGGAACAAACCTGACTGATTTAATATGGTGGGAAAAGATAACCCATTATAGAACTCACCTGCAAGAACCAGCAGCATAGAACATGTTTTGAATGCTTGGTGGGGAGGGAGGTGCTGCACTATCAAGTTTCATCTTCTTGTCCCCTTCCTCCCAGTGTATCTTAACACACAGAGGGTGCCCATAATAAAAGGGATCAAGTATCTTCCTTAGCCACCACATTATCTGTTGTTGTAGCTCTAAATATCATGGTTATGTACAAGGAAATCATGATCAACTTCTGCTACAGCACTTGTTGCTACTGAACTGCAACAAACTGTGGTGGAAGAGCAGGTGCCTAGTTGCTCCATGAACTGTAACTCTACCTATGTAATGATTCTCTAGCCATATGATGATTATCTCCACACCAGACATCACGACATCGCAATTCCAGAAAACAGATGGAATCATGAAAAGGGTTACAACAGGGCTTCAGCCAAGTTCATAATTGCAGGTGTTCATGCTGTTAGTGTAGCGTCAGCAAATCTTGTCCACCGTGTAGTCAGAGAGCAGATCTGTGTTGGAAAAGGGATTTCAATGCCTCTTTTTCCTACTTTACCTCTTCCTACCTTGTTTCTGAAGTGTACACCTTTTATCCTACCAGCACTCCCTTTCCCATTGAAAAGAACTTGGTGTGTGAAAGCAGGCAATTTCTTTTTGACATGGAAGTGGCCGTGGAGATTCTCATTCAGTGCCTGAGATGTAGATATGCCAAAGATGTTTTTGTGCTGTCAGGATTTGGAGAAGAAAGAATCATTTCTATAGTACCAGCTAAAGCAATGTGGGAGGAGAAATGCCCTAAAGAAGTCAAGACTTGCTTCAGTTGTCTAACCTATTTGTGACAAGCTTTCTCTCCCTTAGGGTCCTGGACTGTGGCTTTTGTTTTGTCTGTGTTCCTGAGGTCAGTTCATCACAGGTTCTCTGACAGTCTGTGTCTGGCTGCTCAGCATTGCAGCTTACAGGAGGCTGTTTTAAGGTATTTGCACTGGTTAGTTTAGCTGAAAATGCTGAACTGCTCAGAAACTGGTTCATAAACAACTTGAGTGCCAATGCGATGTGGACAGTTGAGGAAGGTTTAATGCCATCCATCTTTTAGTCTCACTCTCTCTTAGTTGACTAATTCTTTCTTAGAGAAGTCAAGCTAATTAAAGTGAGTTTGTATGCAAAATAACATATTGCTGGTTTGAAGATTAGATATCAAAGTTATCTCAAGTCCTGGAAGGCTGCTTCTGAAAATTGCTACATAATGAAGTATTAGCCACTTATTCAGCAGGATCCATCTACTTAAATTCAGCTGATGGGAAACTACCAAAAAGTCTCTTTAACCTATAGAAATCAATGGGTTCCTGTTTAGTTTCAACTCTTTCAAGCTAAAGAATTGCCTTTGAAATTACATTTTGCTCACTTGAAAACCATGAAGTGTGAATGGCCAAAGACTTCAGGCTTTGACAATTTAGGTTTGTAAGACTGGGAGGAAGTATTGGGGGAAGAAGGATGTAAATGTTTAATTTCCTGCCTTCCTTACGAATATTCTTTATTACCTGAAAGACTGAACAGAATAAGATGACAATATTCCTAATATATTTGCTGATGTGTCAAAAACAAAGTGCAGCTTGAACTTGATTCCTAATTTGTTTCTAGGCTATGAACACTTCCTATTTGAGGCGGAGGGAAATTACAGTATTGCTACTCAGTAAATCCATTTTATTTGGAGGCTTGAATATTTGTCCAAGTGCAGGAAGTGCAAAGTATTGTACGTGCTCTTTGTGTGACATCATGTGATCATGTGAAATGTTGCCAAAACAAATGTGGACCTCCATGCCAAGAACTGCTTTAAAAAGCTAAGTGCTTCCTACCACTGACAACTCTCCTTTAAGATGTCCATAAAGAATTATTGGCATTTTCAAAAGGGTTTCCTGGGAGAGGTTCCACTACCTAGTTTAGTCAATTTTTTCCCACAGTTTTTGGGTAGAAATCAAAAAATTTACTCCAAAGACCAATGAGCTTTTTATGCTAGTTTAAGTTAGTAATGTGTGACTTGGATCATTCCAATACAGCTAAATGCCAGGTTATGGATGTAGGAGCACAGAATTTTGAAAGATCTCCAAAATGTCTACTTCTAAGAATATGGAGACTATACTACAGGATTAAAGGTTAGAACTGGACAAATGCTCTTATTGTGAGCCAAGATATGAAAATGTCTCTTGCACAAATGGGAGAAAAATGAATAGAGGAAAACCTTATTGTTGTGCAGCTTTATTTAGGTACGGAAGGAGCGCGTACGTTTTGGAAGGAATGTTGGAATATTGGCTAAGGCACAGAACCACAGATGATTCAGTGGTAGAGAAAAGGTTGTGCAAGAGCTCATTTTATATTGCATTAAGAAGCCTGATTAATATACATGTCTCTTGAAGACAAAAAAATCTACCCAAGGCCTCTCTATCCTAGCAGAGCAATGCTGAGCAAGAACAAGTAGCCTGAGTCTGAAGTTAATTTTAAAAAGCGTACATTTTTAACAGGAAGATTGTGCTTTTCCCCCTCATTATAACTAGTTGTGGAGGTAACAAATTCTCTGTCTCTATCTGCAAATCAAAAAAATTATTTCACCTCTGGAGAAGGTACCTTGTTTTAATAAGTTACCGGGTTGGACACATTAGAACTTAATGAAATATAATAACATGAACTAACAGGAAACCATTTAGTAGTTCCTTCTGGCTTCAAACCTATGATGTATTTATATGCAATATTTGTAGGAGTTTTTTAGTATTCATGCAGTTGCCTTAATTATAGGACTGTCTGCTGTGTCAGCTAACCCTACACAGCAAGGTTATACAAGGTAAAAAGCCCCAAAATTAAAGAAAATCCCTTGTGATCTTCCTGTACCACAATCTGCAGTAATTTGTGACTGCACTTAGAAAGGCAGATTAACAGCTCTCACAGGTGTCAGAATAAATCTAAACAGTAGTATAGTATGTGCTGTATTTAAATTGCCTATGTAAGCAGGAGACACACACACACTTTACCAGTATGGATGGACTCTCCAGGCAGCCTGATATTCTGGAATTGAAATGTCTCTGTATGTAGGGCAGGAAGTAATTCTTTGATAAGTAGATACTTCTTCTGAGACGAGCTGGGAGCAACATGCCTGTGTACTTTGTTCTGTTCATACTCATGAAAAGTGATGTCGTTCAGACTTTTAATGACAGCTCACAAACACATTCAGTTTGATATACTAGAATGTATATGTACCCACTTGGTCAAAATTTTAATAAAGATGTCCCATTTGTCCCCGTTCAAAGTGGCATCGTAGATCATTTGTAGACAAGGGACACTTAAAGATTTTTTCTTTAATTTTTCTGCAGTATTTTGCATTTATGTTTTCAAGTTGCTTTAAATTGTAAGAAAATATCCCTTTTAGTCCCTACACAGTTATTGTTAAATTTGCAAGTCTAGCTGTAGAAGTATATACATTTTTTAGCCTGTGGACTGGGTTTATGCACCAAAACATGATTGGATACAGTGTAGAAAGTGTGAGAGGTGGAAGCTGCAATGATCCCTTCTGGCTCTTCGTAAGGTTTCAGGCACAAAGAGCAGAGTTTGTTTTGATTCTTAAGTTGCATCAAAAGTTAAGGACTTTCTGTTTGAAGCTGGCCATCAGAGGTAACTGGAATTTAACTCACTAGCAGGAAATATTTCTGCTGTAACTCAAGTATTTGAGAAGAGTGGAGTGGACTTCTGGTATTTCCCGTTTAGCACCAAATGAACTGCTGGAGAAAGGGCATCTTTGAATATGGGTTAGAGTAGCTGCCCTTCAAGTAAGCTCCAGAAGTCCAGCTTTAAAAACAGAGCCTTCAATGGGATTGGCTGTTCACTTACACTGTCTAAATTGCATTTTTTAAGGATTGCGATGCTGTTGGACTGGGGACAGATTACAAATGTGTAATACAGATTATTTGATTTTATTCAGAAAACTCAGAAAGGCTTTTAACACAGAAGTGCTTCAATGTTAAAGCAAGACAATGATTTTACTGCACAGGCATGAAGGGATTTGTTGTTGAAATGGGTTTGATTTTAATAAAAAACTCTGGATTTATCCTGGTGAAGCACATCCAGGAGGTGCTCGATTCTCCTGTAGTGATTCAGAGATTGAATTGCCTTTCTTTCACTATAAGTGCTTCTAAACCATCCAGTAAAACAGTTTTTCCTTTTCAATCCTAGCTTGGGTAGACAGATATCTACAGGGGATGCTGTTCATCAGCACTGTTCTGTTATGTCCCTAATTATGTGACTGTGGAACTTCTTGAAAAGTAAGGATGATGAGCACAGTCACTTAAAATACAAACCAAGCACTAGTACTTTTAAGACAGAGAAAGGAGGAAATTTAGGCAAGACTTCAGATTTGAAAACATGTATTTCCAAAATGATGGAATACATAGATACATCCTTCATTATGGTAAATATATAAACCATGGAAAGTCTTTTGAAAGTTCTCAGCTTAAAGTATATAAAAACTTCTTTCTGCAAGTGAAAATGTGCTCTAGATGTCAAGAGATTGTTCTGGTGTGCAGGAAGTAATTCAGCTCTACTCCTGGGACAGGACCTGCAATCAGAAGGTGCTCCTAGAGGTACTGGGTCAAGT